GCAAAACGATTGAGGGCTCGAGCAACTTTGTTCACCGTCATCAATGGACAACGTTATACAAAGGGTTTCAGCATGTCATACTTAAAGTGTTTACGACCAACAGAGGCGGAAATGCTATTTGAAGTGCATGCGGGAATTTGAGACAACCATCAAAGGGCAACTACCCTCTCATTCAAAATCTTACAACAGGAATACTAGTGACCTACCATGAAGGAGGACGCTAGAGAATTTGTTAGAAAATGTGATGCGTGCCAAAGCCATGGGAACCTGATCCATATCTCAGCCGAGCAGCAGACAACTATCTTTAGAATGTCCTTTCTTTTAATGGAGAATGGATATCCTGAGACCTTTGCATGTGGCCAAAGGGCAAAGAAAGTTTCTACTAGTCGCCATCTACTACTTTACTAAATAGGTGGAGGCAGAACTACAGGCTGCCATCACGACGGCTAAGGTGCAGGACTTTGTCTGGAAAAACGTCATATGCAGGTTTGGGATACCTAGAGTGATCATTACAGATAACGGCAAGCAGCTTGATAACCACAACTTCAAAGCTATTTGAGCGAGCTATCACATCGATCATATGCTAACTTCGATTGCTCTCCCTCAATCCAATGGGCAAGCAGAAGTGACCAACCGGACCATACTGTAGAATCTGAAGACAAGATTGGCAAAAGAGAATGGGCTTTAGGCAGTCGAACTACCCAATGTATTATGGGCATATAATACAACCCCACGGGAACCAACCGGTAAAACACCTTTCAAACTGTCTTTCGGGATGGAAGTCATTCTTGTTGTAATCCTTAGTGAAACCGCCGAATAAAAGTTTAGCACCTTGACATCACGACAACCACCGTAGAACTTGATTTGCTTGAGGGAGTGAGAAAGAGAGCAACTCTAAAAATGGCATCATACAAGAGGAAGGTTGCAGCGTATTTCAACCGAAGGGAAAGGCCAAGGATTTTCTAGCCAGGAGATCTTGTACTTAGGGATGTAGCAGCAGCAAGACACCCACCATCGAAACTCAGGACAAATTGGAAAGGATTGTATGAAGTAATTCGCAGCCTTTAAAAAGGAGCCTACTGTTTAAAAGACATGAAGGGGAAGCCACTAGGTAGGCCATGGAACACTAAGAATCTCAAGAAATACTATCAATGAGATGCATCATAGAACTTTTGTATATACAGTAGATATGTTGCTCTGTTAATTTCCCTAATATAATGCCTGCTATAGGCACCATTTATTGTAATTGTGAATGTTATCTAATGAAAGGCCTGGACGACGGTAGACGATGAGGGTGCTAAGGAAATTCCAATCTCGAACATCCCGATGCACCTCTTGAGCCCCCAAATCTAGGCAATTTATATGTCCATGTACAGCTTCAAACTTTTCCCAACAACTTAAGTTCGCTTTCTAGTGGAGAGCTTTCAAAACCAAAAACTGGTTAAGGCCCTAAACCACTAGACTCTGTGTCTACAATTGAACATCACCCAAGGGGCTACGCGGATAGCAACAAAACCAATAAATTGTTATAAGCTCGAATGCGCCAAACGGTCATATTGGAGAGCCTATAAAACCAAAAATTGGTTAAAGCCATAAATCACTAGACCAAGCGCTCTACATTCGACAGAGCCGGGGAGGCTAGATGAAGAGCAACAAAACCAATAAATTAGTTATAAGCTCGACTGTGCCGAACGATCATAGTGGAGAGCCTGTAAAACTAAAAATTGGTTAAAGCCCTAAACCACTAGACCATGCGCTCTACATTCGACAGAGCCCGGGGGCTAGGTGAAGAGTAACAAAACAAATAAATTGGTTATAAGCTCGACTGCACTCAATGGTCGTAGTAGAGAGCCTGCAAACCCAAAAGTTGGTTAAGGCACTAAACCACCATACCAAGCACCCTATATTTGACAAAGCTCGAGGGGCTAGATGATGAGCAACGAGGCCAAAAAATTGGTTAAGGATCGACAATTGAAATATGAGAATTGAAATCACTACTTAGGCTATGGTTGATGTAAATGTGTCGACCGCATAGCAATCAATCCATGCTCGTCGATCAAATGATGATCAATTGCTGAAGGTTGGCCGTTATGCAGCTAGTGCACCCACTAACAGCCACTCGATCGATTTAGAAGAGTTGTGCGGGTATAGGCAAAAAAAACAACTAAGCAATAATAATGTTCCAAAAGAATGCGTCCATACTCAAAATGGAGTGTGATTGTTTGTTCACATCCTAGACCAAGAGAAATCACTAGACAATTGAAGGACAAAAATAAATAACTGTAGAAAGTGCTAAAAGATCTATAACAAAAGACCGTTAACCTGAATACGAAGTCCCTTCGCTCCCTCCTCGCGATATGCGCCCGAATGTCATGGATTGAGGGGCTTCGCTCTCTCTTCCTTTACGCTACACCAGAAACTTGTCGAAACCTGAAGGGTCGATAGAAGGGTGCTCAATAGCAATCCACACCTTGGTCAATTTGATGGACGCCGCCATTTCCTTTCCCTTGTATGAATTCAAGGCCTGAGTATAATCGAATGACGATTTGTATTGCTCCACAGATGCCTCCAGATCCTTAGCATACTCCATTAAAGCTTTATATCTCTCCACCACCTGCTCTAGAGCTCGAGGTAAAATAGATCGTAGGTTATCAACTACCGTCTTTTGCTCGCAAACTCGAGCCTCTAAAGCTTCAAGAGACTTATTCAAAGAAGAAATTTTCTTTTTGTAATGGTGAGCTTTCTTCGTTTTTTCCTTTACAAGAGCTTTTAACTTCAATGACTGACGGTGGCTCGACTCAAAAGGTCTAATTTGTAAGGCCACAACCTAACATGCAATGAGGCAAAATGATTAACAACCACGAAGAATGAGAATAAACAAAAAAAATAAAAAAAATGAAGCATAGAAAGAAGCTTATCCTCTAAGTGTAAACCCACACCTATTTCAGTAACCCCATAGAAACCCTTTCCCTCTCCCTCTCCCTCTCCTCAACAGCTTTGATTTCATTTCAGAAGACAATTTGGTGCAAGGTTCCAAACTGTGATTGAAGAAATTTCTCAAGAGTCTTTGTTGGGGGACTCAAGTTCTTTGAATCTTTCGTCCTCTGGACTTGTGTCTTCCAAAACTACAGATGATTTATAGAGCTTGTGAAGTATAAGAATATGAAGAATTACTACTGAAGAATCACCACCACAATTACTCTTACTTCCCATTCTCAGAGTAACAAGTAAGCACTCTTGAAGATACCCGCCATCTTCAACTTTACCAAGACACACCTCCCAAATCTAGAACCATCAGGTACTGTCTAAGCTAGCTTTGCAAAAATGGCGAAGTCCATTTCGCCACCAACTGTTCGACTCAATTCCTCATCCAACAACTATCTTCTGGAACACAATCATCATTGGCTACATTTAAAACAACTTGCCCCCACAAAGCCATCAAGTTTTACTCCCTCATGAAATGGTCCACCACATCCACTCCTCACCCCCATATTTGTGATGCTTACACTTATTCAAGCACTCACCATATTTGTGTCACTTTTTTAATCTGCATAACTTCTTTTAATTTGTGCCACTTTTTTTAATTCGTCACTTTTTAAAAAATTTTCACTTTTTTGAATTTTGTCACTTTTTTTAGTTTTTTGTCACCTTTTAAGTTTTTGTCACTTTTTAAGAAGATAAAAAAATGAAATAATATGTTATATTTTCCTAATAATATCAGCATGTGGATTGACCTGAACATGGTGATTATTTTAAGAAAATGATTACTGTGTTGTCCAAATGGATTAGGGTGAACAAAATGTCCAAACCAAATCAAACCGAACCGAACCGAACCAAGCGGTTCGATTCAGTTCTACAAAAAAAATTAATAGTTTTGGTTCTTCGAACAAAACACCATTTGGTTATAGTTTTGGTTCGGTTCCGATTCTAGAACCAAGAACCAAACCGAGAACCAAACTTAATTTACAATTTTATTTTTTGTATGAATTTAATTTTATGTTAATTGAAGACATCCCAATAGCCATTATTTTTGGTAGAGTCCATAAAACGTGTTTAGCCCATTAATTTTAATTGTATTCAATATTTGTGTTTAAATATCACTTCAATACATTATTTCAAATTCAAACCCTCAAAATCCCAAACACCTCTAGACGCCTTCCTAAATTCCTAATCCCTCAAACAATGCAGTTTTTCTGTGCGGAAACTCCAACTTTTTCGCCACCAATTTGCTGTTCCTCCAAGCCATCAAGGGTATAGTAAAAAATATCATAATTTACTGGACATCTTTATTTTCTTTCATAGTTTTTTGTGCAACTTTATACATATTAGTCAAAAATTCTAGTCAGACAATATTTTTATTGAATTGTGATACAAGTCAATTTGGAAAAAAAAAAAAAAAATTAAAGTAGACTACAAATATTATTTTCTTATGCAAGTTTGAAAATTTAAGTAATAGTACTAGAACCAGACTAAATCGAACTAGAACCAAATGGTTCAGTTCAGTTCGGTTCGGTTCCGCATTTTAAAAAAAAATTATTTGGTTCTATTATCAAGAAATCCATTGGTTCATAGTTCAGTTCGGTTCTCTTGGAATCAGAACCAAATGGAACTACGTCACCCCAAAAATGGATGGTGTTATTTTGGTATTTGTTACTTTTTTTTAGTTTTGTCACTTTTTTTTAGTTTTTGTCAATTTTTATTAAAAAAGTAATATTGTGTCACTTTTTCACTTTACACAGTATTTTTTACTTCCTAAAAACTTTTCATATAATTTTTCAAAATATCCCTAATTTTAAGGGTATTTTTGTAAGTACCCCAAAACATATTGTCGGGATATCAGTCAAAAAGTAAAATAATTTAAAAAGAAGTGGGCCGGTCCGGCCAGGTCAAATTGGGCCTAAGGTTGGACGGACAGCTGACACTATCCAATAAAATTGCAAACTGAAAACAAAGAAGAAGCACAGTGGACGAGCTGATCGAGATTGGATTTGGGGGATTGGATGGAGATAATCCAAGCGAGCTGCGGATGCAGAGATTACCTTCAACCTCGCCTGAATTCTCGAATTTTCTATTCCAACTCTCGAATTTACTCTGTTAATTATCACTCCCGATTTCACCCAAGATCAATTTTTTCTCGCAATGAATTCGTCTTGTCTGCTGCCACTCCTGGTACCGCTACCGTCTTTTTTCTTTTATATTTTTTATACTAATAATTATTTTTGTGACTTGCGATTTTAGTTAAGTATTGGAAGCTTTGAGTTGCTATGTTACTGAGTACAATTTATATAAGGGAATTCACTGAACATGTTGAACTAAATTGTTTTGACGAGTAATTACAATTTACTTTCCGAGAAAGTAGTGAAAAAGGTAGTTTTGAAAATCATCTTTAGCAGCAGAATTATTAACTTCCAAATGAGTTTGTGTTGTTTGTGCTCAATATCCGATGCAAATAACTCAAGTTGATAGCTCTAGGGGTATGCACCTTAATATTTTTGTGTATGCATTACTCTTTTTGAGTTTCTCGACGAATACTTGAGCTTTGTACTCATTGACTAAGATTTACCACCATCATTCTAAAAACCGTTTTGTTCCATTTAGATTCAGTGGCGACGGAGGTTGCTCAAGTTGATATTTCCTTAGCTATTAAAGTAAGTTTTCGGTTCCATATAATTTGAACAATTGAGGCTTCTCTTCTGATACAACATCTAATTTAAGCAACTAATAGTAACTGTTCAGTTCATTTCAGAAGAGAGCAGCGGAGTTATCCCCTAATTTAAAGGGAACTTCTATATTTCTTGTTGGTGAGATATTTTTCAAAACCTTAATCTCCCTTGTATTTCCAAATACATTAACCTTTGTTATGTCTAACGTGATAATTAATTTACTACAGGGATAAACAGCTCCTTCAAAACGAACTTGGGGAAAATTCTTGCCGATACATTACGATATTACTACTTCAACAGGTGTTTTTGGTGAAACTTTGTCGTGATAGAGATATTATTGTATTTAGTGGGAGGCATAAGTGTGGATTAACTGTTATGCTAACTGCAGCGATAGTCTGGTTGAGGAAGCTGCCGGAGGAAAAACTGCAGCAATATCATACATAGAGAGAGATGAAGAGGGATTTCTTGCCTCAGAGGTGACAGTTAGAGATGTCTATTTTTGTTTATTAGTTGTATCATTTCATGTAATACACTTGATGGGTTGATGCAATAAACCTTTAAAAGTAATTGCAGACTGAGGTACTGAAGCAGTTGTCGTCCATGGGTCGCCTGGTTGTGTGTGCTGGGAATGGAGCAGTTAAAGATGCTACCAATCTGTAAGAACTGCAACAGCACTTTTTTAATCATTTATCTTGTGACTTGTATGTACTTCATATTAAAAGTGAGTTGACTTTATTTATAGGGCACTTTTGAGGCACGGGATTACTATATGGATCGATGTTCCTTTAGACTTGGTGGCCAGAGATATTGTGGAAGATAGAATTCAACTTTCTGCTACTGATATGTTGATATCTGGATCTTCTCCTGAGGTGTCTTCTATCATCTTAGACAGATTTTATTCTTAAAAGATGTTGCTACCATCTATGACAATTATGGTTTGTCTATTATCAACCGTCCAGTATTATATACAAATAGGTTCTTCACATCCTACGTGTGTTGATGTCTTCCTGATTACAGGTTTTGGCTCAACTCAATACACTGTATGAATGTCGGCGAAGTGGATATGCTACAGCTGATGCAACCATTTCAATCCAAAGTCAGTCCTTGTGATAATTTCTACTTTTCACTCACAATTACTAACTCTTTGTTTTAACCACCTACTGTACTGGCAGAAGTAGCTTCGGAATTAGGTTACAGTGAATTGGATGCTGTGGGTGCAGAAGATCTGTGCTTGGAGGTAAGTTGAATAAACATATTCTTGAAATTAATTAACTGGAAAGCAGACAAATAATAAAGCTGTGATGAATCTAGGCACTCAAAGAGATTGAAAAATTGATGAGAGCAAAGAAGATGATGGAAGAGGCTGCCAAACCATTTTAACCAACCAGTGTTATGGTTTAATGACAGCATTTTGATCCTAATACATTCGTAGGATGGATGTATCATGTTGAATTTTTATGATTGTTGAATGGATTTGAACCTTAGCTTATATCTTGATCATGTTCAAAGCTCTTAAATGAGTTGGTTCGATGTGGTATCGATGTCCTAAGTTCTAATTCTAGCATCATCGGTTTATTTATTTATTTTCAATTTTTAAAAGGAGATCAATGGATTTCACCCCTCCCATCAAAAGCAGGCTTGAACCAAGGTCATGAGTCTGATAAGGTTTCGCTTTTATCACTTGTCTTTTACTACCTTTTTTCCTTATATTTATTTGTCTTCGATGAAGAAAGAAGATAGCATTAAGGAAGGGTGTTTGAAAATTGCATCTAAAATAAATAAAGTTGTTACTTTTTCAATGACAAACTTTTAAATGAGAATATTTAACATGTATATTTGGTACAAATAAGTTAACGGACATGAAATGAAGAACTTGACATACTAAGAATAACTAACACGGGGGATGAATTGGTTTTTCAAAAAAAATTCGAGAAATTTATGGAAATTTAAACAAATTATAAGTGATTAAATCATTATATCTAGCTTCTTTTGACGTTGGACTTTTGTAGCTGGTCTCGAATGCTCTACTTTCATCTCTACTTTTATTGTGAGTTCGATTTGTACTGTGAATGTTTTGATAGCGATCTTTTTGTCCTTAATTGGTCAATATTATATCGAATGTTTGAAAACTTAAATTCAATTGTCTGAAGTAAAATTAACTTATTTGTTATAATTAAAACATTAAGGTTAAAGTCAATCATAGATCAATAGAATAAAGTCGAGACTCTACATATAGGGACGGATCCAGCACCCGGTGAGAGGGTGCGGCCGAACAGAGAAGACTGGAAGAAGAAGAAGACGACTATTTCAGGTCAAGTGGGCCTTTTTTTTTTTTTAAGTTTTGGCCCATTTATTTTGGGCTGAGAGAGTTAGGCCTAATAAATTCTAGAATTTTGGTATAATTCCTCCTCCCGAACTATTTTAGCGTCCAAAAATATATTGAGAAGATCGTGGCAGATATAGCATTAGATCATTAGATAATTCGCCGTCTGCTTCCAAATAAACAATTTACCTGATCAAGTAGACCTAACTCTTACACTTCTCTAATTAATCTACCCAATCACACTGCCAAGTTAACGTAGTTTCCCTCTTCTTTAGCTTCAACGAAATGACTCTAATCGCAAATCAAAAACTATCAGTAAAAAGAAAATCAAATTATTTCATGTTTCAAATTCCATAGAAATTAACGCATATTTACTCACCTGAATTAAGTTTCCTGCAAATTCCAAGCATCTGCCGAACTCTTCAACTCCCAGCAAAATTGCAAATATTATTTTAATTCAAGCCTTCCAAAATTAGAGATTTGGAAGGAAAATTTAAAAAACAAAAAAGCAAGATGAGATCATAATCAAAGAGCGCGCACTGTTGGTATTGATCACAACTTCACTCTTTTTCCCTTTTCTTATTCTGGCCTTTTTCGTATAACTTTTTCTTTTCTTCTCTCTCTATCTGTGTAAAGTGATATGTATGTATGTATTGTGTGAGAGATTTGTGTGCGAATTTCAATACACAACTGACAGTGCGATAGTGTGTGAATAAGGACAAATCTCACTTACTTAAATAGAGGACCTTTCTGAAAAAATAAATAAAAATGCTCTCCATACAATAACTTCTTTCATTTTTTATTTTTTTTTAAAAAAAAGATTACTACCAAGTAAATAACAACTTTCATAACTCATTGGACCCACTTTAATCATTTGCATTATATCGTTATTTGAATTGCAAATAAGTCTACGTTAAATTTTAGAAAATTGACATAGATGATCTCAAATTTTTGTTTAAATTGACTGATTGAATGACAATTTGGTGATTTACATGGATAAAGATTTTTGAAAAAATTGAGAATGAGCCAATATTGCAATGTTTTTAAAACATGAGACCCCGTAGAATGTAGTTGTCTAAGATCACAGTTATAGAGTAGGTTGTATCGCGTATTTTATTAGTGTTTTGGATTGTATTGAATTATATTTCATATATATAATTTTTACGTTTGAGTGTGTTTACATATATATAAAATAATTTTTTATTTTATTTAATTAAAAATTAATAAATGACATCGTTCTTACGATCGCTGATTGTTGACGGTCAATGGTCAACGTACGCCCTGACTGAACTTTGTGATGGGTCCGCCACTAGTGCCCTGCAGATTTTTGTTGGATTACTGGACTATTCTCTGCATCCCAACTCGTAGGGAATGTCTTAGCACGTGTTCTTCCAAAAGATTACATTTTTGGGGTATGTTAGTTATAGAACTTTAGGCATTTTGTTGTTGTTATGTTCCTTATTGTTACTTTCTTATTGGCAGCAAAAAAATTTCATTTTCAGGTCTCAATAGTTCTATTGGTCTTTGTTCCTGTTTACATGACCCTATTCCTGACAGAAACAGAAAGGCCAACTCGAGAAGCTGACCAGCATATCCCTTTTCTAAACAAAGCATGTAATGTTGTTCACAAACATTGTTACTCAATGAAACAGGGTATAGATGTTGTTACCAGCAGGTAATTTTGCTTGATGTTTCAAGTGATTTGATTTTTCTTGAGCTTACCAACACTCAAAAGCTGCCTCTTGGTCAGAATGAAGGAATCAGGATACAATTTATTGGAGAAACTTAGAATAAATATTATCATTTCAGACATGTTCGCTTGCTAATAATTTCAGTTTTTTTCTCAGCTCGACACTTAAACGCATTTCTCTTGTTTCCTTCTTCTATAATTTGGGAATGTCTGGCATCAGCAGTGTCTTACTGGTACGTCTCTAACCGCGTAAAATCTATTTATTTGTGAACAATTAGATTGAGCAGGGATTACGTTGGCAATAATATCAATATATGCTAATTCTTGCAAATTTTCTTCTTATTTCCTGCAAACGAGATACACTGCTTTCTTTATAAACTAATACACAGAAAGAAAAATGCAATCCTGATCTCTGTTAACTGCATTAAATTGTTCAGCAAGAATGTATCCTACTTGCTTGCTCCATCTTTGGAAAACAAAAAATTAAAGTTTACTGTCCCAAAACCAGCTCCCTACGTGTTTCAAAAATTGCTTTTAAAGATACTTCTACTGGTGTCTGTGACGTTTAGAACATAGTGATTCTTCCCACCTTAAATAACCTTATGGGATATATCTTCTACACTTATTCACAAATAATTTGAACTGGAGAGAGTTTTTGTTATGATTTACTGATAGTTTGTGATGTAAACCAATTAAAATGATCTGTTTCGTCCTGAAACCCCTTCAAGTTTTCTTTATAACCTTGCAGTTCTATTTGAAATCAGCATTTGGCTTCAACAAAAATCAATTTTCAGAAATCTTGATAGTGGTGAGAGTACTGAGAGGATGTTCAACAATTTTTTCTATGGTATGTTCTCAGATTTTTTTTTTTTTGATAGTTTATGCTGAAAGTAAAAAAAAAACTTCTGACAAAGCTTAGTTAGATCAGTAAAAGAAGTGTCTACTATACCTTGTTATCTACAACACTTGGTATTGTTTTTATGGCTCTATCTTAATGGTAATCTAACGAAAAGAACTTGAGGGGGTTTTGAGGTTTCATCTTCCTGAGATGAGATTATATATTTTTCTGTACAAAGTCCCGTATTAGAGTTTTCTAGAATGATTATAGTGAGAAAATCGATAAACTGTTTTTCTTTTACTACTACTTTGTTTCATGTTCTCCTTTTATATCAGGGTTCTATTCGTCCTGTTCTTTCGCATCATTAAATCTGAAGTCTACATCTGTTGAAGACATACCTTGAATAAATAAATTTATCCCCCTCCGACAACTTAAAATTTTAGATGTGATGGTTCAACGTGATATCTGAGTAGGTAGACGTCCTCATTTCAAGTCTCACCACGCCCATTTATTAAAATTATGTCACGTGCAAGGCCTTTGACTAAAAATGTATCCGGCCTGGACATCGGTGTGTGGAAGATGATTGAAATAAATAAGTTTTCTATCTGCTTAAACTTTTAGATGTGGTGGTTTAAGAGTATCTCCAAGACTCTTTAATCACAATACGCTCTCTATTTTAAAAGGTCTAACTTTTAAAATTATGTTTCAAGAGACTATTCAAATTAATATTTTAAAATAGAGAGGGAGTTTAACTCTCCAAACTTAGAGAGCCAAACACACTATCTATAATAACTGCACTCAAAGTATTTGAAAATGAGGAATAACAATATAATAATTTAGAGGAAAGTTAGTGAAAATAAAAGATAGAGAAAAACAATAAATATTTTTTGAAAATAGTAACATTAAGTGTTAAAAATAAAGAGTCTATTGGAGAACCTGAAAATTTTTACTTTCTAAATTTTAGATGCTCTTTAAATTGCAAAATATGCTCTTTAAAAATAGGGTCTGCTCAAACAATGTGAACAATTGAACCATTATCCTTGTGCACGTGAGCTATGTCACCTACTTGAGCACATACAGCCTTTCCTGAAATTTGAAAGGCTCGGCCATTTCTCTACTTACCTTTGCTACTTTAGGGTGTGTTTGAGCCACATTATTTTGGAAGAATGTATTCTGAAATAGTAGATTGATGAAGGATTTGTGGTTGAAAAGAAGGAAAAGTTATTGATATGATGGAAAATATTATTTTATTGAAGAATGTGTGGTTGAAAATTAGTAGAAGAATGAAAATGAAAATTTTAATGTGTACCAAACAGGGGCTTAAATCATTTCTCAAGATTCCGTTTCTTCTTCGTCTTCTCAATCCTTGGGTTGGAGAGAAACTGAAACTCTGTGTAGCCTTGCTCGCTTCAATAGCATATGTGAGTTCCCTTAAAATAACATGAACTATTGTATCTGGAAACTTTTCTTTTTATATGCTGATTAGGTGAAGAAACTGTCTCACAAAAGGGTTTTGTACAGGGACTGCT